AACTGCACACACACTCTCATCCTTTGCCAGACCCTCCAGGAGACAGGTGGTGAGCACCCTATTACTGCCAAACTAATGAGCAGAATAGCACATTTGAGTAGCCTGCTCAACTGGATATATCAAAATAAAATGAAGCAAAAAACCTGGGCCTATCACAACAACACATAGTTATTAATTAAACCCAAATACCATAGCATCACAATGTCTCAGAGACAAAAGCAAAGCTCATTTCACACAAACACTACAAGTGGCTCAAACAGGTGATGAAAATACAGAGCCAGGAAACCTTCCTGAGGAAGAAGTGGTATGGAAATATCTGACAAGGGATTCAACAGGATTATCTTTAGGATGCTTCAACAGACTAAGAAAGAGATTAAAGAAAACACAGGAGAAAAAAAAATACACAAAGAACTCTAGAATTCAGGAAAACTAGAAATAGAAAATCCCATAGACTCAATAAGAAAACTATGGAATGAATAGAAGAATTCAGCAAAGTGGCAGGGTACAAGAGCAACATGTAAAAATTAGTCAAAGTCTTTACACTAATGAAGAGAGCTCTGTAAAGGAAATCAGGAAAGCAATACCATTTACAGTAAACCAAAAAACAAAACTCACTGCCATAAAGTAGATTCCGACTCAACATGACCGCCATTAGGTTTCCAAGGCTATAAATATTTATGGAAGCTGACTGCCTCATCTATCTTCCATGGACTGGCTGGTAGGTTCGAACTACTGACCTTTTGGTTAGCAGCTAAATGTCTTAACCACTGCACCACTAGAGCTTCTTACCATTTACAGTAGCCATCTAAAATTTGAAATATTTAGAAATAAACCTAACCAGTGATACAAAATCCTATGCAAAGAAAACTATGAAACACTACAAGAAACCTAAAGAGATCTTCATAAATGGAAGAATATACCATGTTCATGGATAAGAAGACATAATATTGTGAAAATGTCAAAACTACTCAAAGAAATCTACAGGTACAATGCAATCCTGATCCAGATTCTATCATCATTCATTAAAGTGATGGAAAAACTAAACATCAGCTTTATATAGAAAAGAAAGAGACCTTGTGTAAGCAAAGTGCTACTAAAGAAGAATAACACAGCATGAGGCCTCACACTTTCTAATGTCAAAACTACTATACAACCATGAGAGTCAATGTAGCCTGGTACAGATATAACGACAAATAAAAAGAACAATGGAACAGAATTCAAAACCCTGAAGCAAATCCATTCACCTATGGAGAGCTGGACTTTTACAAAGGACCAAAACCCATTAAATGGGGAAAGATAGTCCTTTAACAAATGGAGATGGCAAAAGTGGATATATTTGCAGAAAAAATAAGTCAGGATCCATATCTCGTACTATACAAAAACTCAATGGACCAAAGACCCAAATATAAAATCTAAAACTGTTAAAATCATCAAAGAGAAAAAAATGGGTAAATTCAGGGGACCTGATACATGACATATAGACACTATAACACAAAAACGAAAATGCACAGATGATAAGGATAAACTAAATGACTGGGAGCTCCTAAAAATGAAATACTTTTATACATCAAAAGATTTCACCAAAGGAGTAAAAAAGTGAACCTTACAGACAGGAAAAAATTATTGGCAAGAATCTATAAGACAAGGGATTAATTTCCAAATATGTATAGAAATCTTCAACACTTTAGCAACAAAAAGACAAACAATCCAGTTAAGAATTGGCCAGAAGACATGGACAGACACTTCACCAAAGAAAACATTCAGGGGGCCAAGAAACATGTGAAGAAATGCTAGTGATCATTGACCATTTGTTGTTGTTGTTATGTGCTGTCGAGTCAGACCCGACTCATAGTGACCCCTCCTTGGGTTTCCGAGGCAGTATCACTATGGAAGTAGGATTGCCCAACCTTCCTTCCGAGGAGTGGCTGGTGGATTTGAACCGCCAGCCTTCTGGTGAGCAGTCAAGTGCCTTAGGCACTATGCTACTAGAGCTCCCTGTTGACCATTAGAGAGATCCAAATCAAAGAGCAATGAGCTATCATCTCATCCAACATGAATAGGGAAGTTAAAAAAAAAAAAAAAACAGAAAGCAAATTCTGGCCAGGGAGTTGAAAGACTGTGCTCTTTATACACTCCTGATGGGACTTTAAAATGGTGTAACCACTGTGGAAAGCTATACCATGCTTCCTTAAAAAGTTGGAAATAGAAATACCATGTAATCCAGCAACCCCACTACTAGGTATAAATTCTACAGAAATAAGAGCAATGACAGAAATATATATGTATCCACACCTTTTTTCATGGCAGCACTATTCACAATAGCAAAAAGACAGAAACAACCTAAGTGCCTACCAAAAGATGAACCAATAAACAAACTATAGTACATACACACAATGGATACTACGCAACATTAAAAATAATGTATGTACATAACAGCTCATAACATGGATGAAACTGAGTGAAATTAGTCAGTCACAAAAGGACAAATATAATAGAATACTATTATAAAAAGTCAAGGAAAGCTTTTCACACAGAAAGAAACATTTTTTGATGTTTTACCAGGGGTGGGAGTGAAAAGGAGTGTAAATCACTAACTAGAAAGTTGACACATATTGGGTTGGGTGAAGGGAATGGCAATATACAACATGGGGTGGATCTATACAAAATGATCAAGGTGAAGGAACAAGGAGTACAACAATTAAAGCAACAAATGTGAATACTGTTACACACACAATCTGGTAATACCAATGATTTATGAATAGATAAATAGACATACAAACTGAACAGGTGTGGGAAGATGAAAGGTATTACACTTGTGACTATGTGTGTGTGTGTGTGTGTTAGAGGATATTTATGCATATGTATTTATATGTGCTGCAAATATATTGATGAATATAGTAGAACATACAAGGGACAAAGTTATGAAAACTAATTAGCCATTGCCACACACATTGAGGGAATGATTGGCTGGGCCTGGAGGCTCAGGACCAGGGGATCCCAAGGTCAATACACAGAAAATAGTCCACAAAGAAAATGTTCTGTGTCCTACTTTGGTGAGTAGCAAATGGGGTCTTGAAAGCTTATGAGTGGCCATCTAAGGGACAACTATTGGTCTCTCCTTGTTCAGATCAAAGACGAGTGAAGAAAGTCAAAGGCCCTAGGAAAAAATTACTCCAAAGGAATAAAAGACCACAGGAACCCCAGCCTCCATGACCACGAGACCAGAAGAACTAGATAATGGATGGCTACCACTGCTAACTGTTCTAAAAGAGATCACAATAGGAGGCCTTGCATAGAGTGGGATAAAAAATGTGGAATAAAACTCAAAAAGTATAAAATAAAAGATGTGTACTGGTCAGAGAGAGGTTTGTGAAATCCCTGAAACTATGGCCCTTAGTCAACCTTTAAGCCTAGAACTGAACTCATTCCCATGATTCAGCTCTTAGCCAAAATTAGGCAGTGCTATAAGGTGAACAGTAACACCAGGGAGGTGCACACTTCTCAGAACAATCAATGATACAAGATGAAAGTGGCAGCATTTGCCCAGAGACAATATTCAGGAAGCAGGAAGGGTTAGGGAAGGATGAATGGAAACAGGAAACATAGGGGGTCTGTGGGATGAGTATATTAATGGAGATTGCAGTCAATGTCATGAAACAAAATGTGTATGAATTGTTGAATGGAAGACTAATTGTATCTGTAAACTTTCACGCAACTCACGATAGAAATATTAAATATTAAAAAAAATTAAATGTATTTAACCAAATCCAAATCATTAAGTGGTGTGTGTGTGTAAGTCAATGTGCACCATAAGTAATGACATGGAATTTGCATTTTATATTCTCTATAGGAAAATTCGGGAGCTCTGGTAGCATAGTGCCTAAGGCACTTGACTGCTAACCAGAAGGCTGGCGGTTCAAACCCACCAGCCACTCCTCGGAAGAAAGGTTGGGCAAT